TTCCCTGCGCCCGGCCGCGCGCCCCCTGGCGCAGGCGCGGCGGCGGCGGCGCGGCCCGGAAGTGGTTCTGCCGCGGAGGGAGAGCTTCCGGTGCGGGCCTCCTGCGGCGGGCGGTGGCGCGGCGGGCCTGCAGGTAGGGCGGCGCGGGGGGAGTCGTGGAGCCGGGAGCGCTCGCCGCCTCGCCCCCTTCCTGGCCGTGCAGGCAGCCGCGGCGGCGCCCCCGGGCCGGGCCGGGCCGGGCCGGCGGATGGGCAGCGAGGCCCGGAGGCCGCCGGTCCCTTCCCCCGGGCAGGGGTTGCAGGAGCCGGACCGGGGGGGGGCGGCTCCTCGCCCTCCTGCGTCTGCAGGGTCGCGGGCCGGAGCAGAGCGCCGCAGGGCTGAGTTCGCGGGGAGCGCTAAGGAAGCTGCTGCGGCAGGGGCAGAAAGTTTGACCAAAGGAAGGGCAACTGTTTCTCATGCGTGGCGCGAATCACGCTGTTCCTTGAGTCGCGGGAAAGGGGAGAAACTCTCCAGGGGCTCTGCTAACAGAGGTGCGGGTGGTTAAACTGCTGCATTGGAAGTTCCCACGATTGTGGTGAGGTGGGTCTGTGTTCCGTATTTTGGTTCTGCAAAATTGTAAAACGCTTTCTTTTTTAAAAGGGGGCTGACCTGGTGCAACAGCCTGATGAGGTAAGTCGGCATCTGAGTTGTTTCTTTACTGCTGTTTTTGGAGGGGTGATGTCCTTTCTTTTTCCTGCCCCCAGGTGGCAAAAAGGCATAGGGTAATGTGCCCAGAACATGGCCCATTTGTATCGTTTTGGGTGCCCCTTAGCTTTTGGGTTTTTTCAAGCAGATGAAGGGTTTTTTGGTCAGAAAAGTGCATTTTAAGAAGAGAGAGTGTAGTTGTATATGTTAGAGATTGGAAAGATTTTTCCCAGCTAAGATCAATGAGATCATTAACTAACCCATTTAACAATTTGAGAAACTGCTTGGACTACCACTCCAGAAAGGGCCCCATGAAGGATGTGGCTAGTCACACAATGGATGCTGTGGGGCCTGGCTAGTTAAGCACAGTTGCCTGGGTAAATGATTAAACCGAGGCACAGTCTGCTTTCCACAACTGAACTGCAAAATACCTACAGAAACACATCAAAACACCTATTTATAGCGACAGTCCTAGGCATTCTATGCAATAATGTACTGGGCAAGATATTTTACTTCTTGCAAAATCTTAAGGCAGGCAAGCCCTGAAAACAAAGTCTACTCCTCTGATCTCTGAGGGAGTAGTTTTCTGTGTCTTGCTGATGGCTAAAAATTGCAAGGTTTTGATTCACTGCAGGGTGCAAATACAAGGCTTGCGGTGAAACATGATTACAAAAAGCCCAGGATAATGGTTTCTCAAATGCAGGGTGGGGACTGGGGCTTCCTCCTTAACCACCTCTTCCAGAGGCACAGTTGTGCTAGGAATAAACTGGCTCTAGGCAGGCGTATTTGCCCTACAATCTCCCTTTTAAAACAGTCTGGTGTTGCACTATTTGCTGGGGAAATACATGCAGTTCTGTGCAGGGGCATGAGCAGGTTGGTGGTAAAGGGCCAGGTCATGCCACCCCTACTCTGCCTGCCTGCCTGAGCCTTTACTGAACTTTACCAAACTCTTCATAAAATAAAAACCCTATAAAAAGCTATCAATATGAAACCAATTAGTATGCCAGCACAGCATAAAATATAAGATCGGGTATCAGAGGTAAAACCACATTGCAAAGGCTAAAATAATAAAGCACTAAAACTTAGGACATAATTGTTTAGTATGGATTTCCAACTGCATCGTTTGCATCTCTTTGCTCTCATCATGACATTGAGGTAAAGGAGAAGCCATCTTCCTTCGTAGGTGCAATTTCCCCTGGGCGGATCTGGTAAATTGTGTGTCCTTTGTACAGCTGGGCTCTGTTCCGGAAATGTGGCATAATCCCGATCTGGGGAAGAAGACTGGCTTTTTGTACCCGGGAACTGCATCCGCAGGATGTGCCGTCAGGCCGCCTCCTGTTCCACTGTGCCTGCCTCAGCTGTGGAGAGCTCTGTGGATCAAATCAAGCATCTCTGATTGGGCCCAGAACAGAATTGTAGAGCAGAGAGAGAACCGCTGTAATACGGCCTGTGAGAGTCTGTGCAGCTCTGTTCTGCACCAGCTGAAGCCTTCAGACCATGGCCACCCCTTTTTTGGGGCAGGGGAAAGGGGAAATGCTGTGGCACCAGGCATTGTTTTGGACACCACCGTAGAGTGACCTGTCATAGTAGCAGAGTCCCAAGTGGTGGTGCACGCAAGCGTTTTCCCCCTCAGAATGTCTCACAGACCTGTGGCTGCCCCACTCTGAGGGCTTAGCAGACTTGGGAAGGCCTTGACCAACTCAAGAAATGGATGGGGCAAGAAAAACCTCTCTGCCACTAACTGCTGCCACAGGATGAACTCTGAAACGAGCTCTCCTCGTCTTAGATTCTGCTTGCTCTACATTTGCCCTGCACGTGTCTTGCAGTGTCTCACAGCCTCGTTGCCCACAGCGCGGCTCAGGCTGTGGGAAGCAGGTGAGCTCATTCAGCAGCAGCAGTTTTCCGCCTGCGACAGATCAGTTCCACAGGTTAACCAGAGGTTTGGCAGGACCTCCAGCTGGGAAATCCTGCCAGACCATCAGCTCCACAGGCATTTCGTACTGGCTGAAGTTGTGCCCCCCCATAGGTCCCCCACCATTTGCTTGCACTTTAGCTGGAGGGCTTGTCTCTTTGAGAATTAGTATATTATCATTTTGCTCAACATTTCTACAAACAGCATGGTTTTTTCCTCCATTGAAACAAATATGTTTTCAAGACCTGTCCAAGCTGTGGCAGCCAGGAGGCTGGCCCAGTGGCCGGTCAGGCATCTTGTAACAGCTGAGCTGGACCGATCAGATGACGCTCGCAGGCTGTTAAAACGCAGCTCCTTCGCACTGCTCAGCCCAGTGCGTCTCCGCTTCAGTAACGTTTTTCACCTCTGTTCCTGTCCCTGAGGAGCTCTGTCTTTTTGTCCCAGGTGGTAGGTACTGACACCTCTTGTCGCTTAAGATGCCATCACGAACGAATTTAGCAGCTTCGGTCCCCAACAGCAAAGTGAAGTATTCCAAGCTTGCTAGCACAGATGAAGGCTATATTGACCTGCAGGTAAGAGCGGGGCAACCAGGGTGAAATTTATTTATTTATTTATGTATGTATGTATGTAAAGTTTTTATGTGCCGTCCCCTTGCTACATAGCCTCGGGACGGCTTACAGAAATAAATAAATAAGACAATAACAATTACAGTTAAAACCTGGAAACACACTGGCTGCACAATTGAAATATATAAATATTCAACTTGATTAAAATACTGTTTGAATAAAAATGTCTTGCCTGCGTGCACTCTTTAGTGCATGCTGCAGGTTTCTTTTCACGTTCCTTCTGCTTTTGTTTACTTTGTGCCAAGGGGAGAAGCCAGTCCAAATGGAGGTGATTCATGTGGGCCATCAGTTCAGGCTAAGGATGAAAGGGAAGCAAGCAAAGACTGACTGCATCTGTTATCACCAGTCAGACATAATCACAGGGAGGGATGAGGGGAAGCGAGACACACACACAGACACCAAAGTGGGGCTGTCCTCAGCCCTTCCTCCTGGTCTTCTTCTGGTGTTTGTGTAGTCTCAGGTGGCCACCAGGGGGCAGCCTTGCCACAGCATGGCTTCCCCTTAAAGTGCCGGGATGAGCAGAAGCCCCGCTGGGATCCACTGGTGGTCTTGGGTGATCTGCCATAACTTACAAGCACTTCTGACTTCTAATTATCCCACAATTACAACAGTTTTGAGCTCTTCCTCCCATCCCAAAATGGGGCCACTGAAAAAAATTCTCGGGGAGAAGCAATGAGCGGGGCTTTGTGCTTGTAAGCTCTGTGTTGGAATTGGCATCGGTGCCTGGCTGAAGATGGGCACAAAGGCCTCTGCCCCATAATCTGGGCCACTCGGGTGCGCCTGGTTCTGCCCAGCAGCCCGCAGGGTTTTAGTGCAAAATGAAAACTGGCCAAGCTGGGTGCTGCTTGCCTGGTTGTGGCAGGAATCCTCCCGTCCCTGCCTTGTCCATGCTGCCCACGCTGGACAGCACCCAGTGGAAAGACCCCCGGGGCCTCTAACGCTGACCTCTCCCCGCCCTTTAGTTCAAGAAGAGCCCTCCCAAGATCCCCTACAAGGCCATTGCGCTGGCCACCGTGCTCTTCCTGATCGGCACCCTCCTCATCATCATCGGCGCCCTTCTCCTCGCTGGATACATCAGCCAAGGAGTGAGTTGCTCGTGCCTCCTGCGAGCGGCAGCAGGCCCAGGATCTCTCCGCGTGTGCGAGGGCACGCCTGCAGGCATTCGCACGCATGGCTGTCCCTGGGAAAGGCGTCCGAGCGGAAGCGTGTTTGGGAGTCGCGCATTCTGGGCGGAGAGGGCTGGGGGCCACGTGGGGTGCGGGCTCACCAGGTGCTTCAGAGAGCTGATCAGGGCAGTTTGCACCACAGAACTGTTCTGTGTCTGCTGGATGCGCCCTTTCTGCCAAAGGCTTTGGAATGGCTCCCAAGAGGTCTTGTGTCTTCTTGCATTCAGAAGCCGAAGTGCAGCTCTGTTTCACAGGCTGCAGAGCAGTCCCAGTTGTTCAGGGTGAGGGCAGAGGAGAGGAAGCAAAGCCTGGGTGTGCTGAGCTTCCTCTTTCTGTGCTTGTTTTAAATGCCTGGGCACCCCAGGTGTGGAGACGCCGGTGCACCTGTGTTTCAGGGTGCAGAGCTCGTGTTCCGTTTCACGTATTCTGGCGCTTCCCCCCTGCCTTCCTGGGAGCATCCGAAGCCACCTGCTGTTCTGGCAGGCTTCCCTCTCCCCATTCCTCTGGAAAAATCGGGATCAGACACGCCTAGAGCCGGACATAAGCTTGCATCTAATAAATCAACATTTGATGGGCACAGAGAATCCTGAGTGGGTGGGTGTGCCTCGTTGCTGTGGCATTAATGACCGCAGGGCTGTGGACAGGCCATTGCGGATGGGTGGTTTGCATCACCTCGAAGGCCAAGGAGGCAGTCCACCAGGCAGCTGCCCCTTGTCCAGTTGGGGGGGGGGGTCCCGCCATCACTCCCCCCCATCCAAGCCTTTCCTTCTGTCTTCCAGGGCACAGATCGCGCCATCCCTGTCTTGATCATCGGAATCCTGGTTTTCCTGCCAGGCTTCTACCACTTGCGCATTGCTTACTTTGCTTCCAAAGGCTACAGGGGCTATTCCTATGACGACATCCCTGATTTCGATGACTAGTGGGCTGAAGACGTGGATCCCCCCTGAGGCGCCCCGCACAGTGGGGGCTTGGCCACCCCGGGAGCGCAGGCCAGGCCGCGACCCCGAGCATTGGGCAGCCCCGGGAGGGATGAGGCCACTCGCCGCCAGCGGGGCCTGCAGGGTTTCTCTCTCTCTTCCTCTGGCTAATCAGAGACTGCTGCCGCATCAGGTGAGGCAGATCGGGTGAGCGACTTTAGGAGAGACACTTCTCCTTTCAGAAGGGAAGTTTTCTGCCCATCATGCGCCAGCTTGCGTAAGAAAAAGAAAGTCCCATTTTAAAACCTCTTGACTTTTTCCGTTTTCACCCACAAGGTAGATGTTTGGAAGAAGTGACGAATGATTTTAAAAAAATCAGGCAAATGGCCAAAGGTCTAACAATTTAACGTACTGGGCCATTGGCTGGAAGTTATGAAAAACTAGGCTGGCTTGTAATGCCTTCTGCAACAGAAATGTAAGGAGGACTGTTTCCGATTCTCCCCAAAACTTCGTTTTCACACAGAAGGTGGGATGTTAAGACTTAAGTTTCTGTAAGGAGAGCAGATCTTCCGCAGTTGTGGAGCCTGCAAGCGCTGTGGTTGCAGCTCGGCACTCAGCGGCCCGATCCGGGTCCAGCAGAAGGCGATGCAGCATGAGTGTGCATCATGTCCTGCGAACTGGCTCAGGGCCAATCCCACCAACTATCACACGTGGAACGTTGACAACACCGAAGCGCTTGGGCATCCACAAAATGCCATCCCTGTCAACTCAGCCCAGTTCATGCGGACACACAACTGTCCGCTCCCCATCTCCCAAGCAAGGAAGCCCACAGCATTAGAAGCAAAAGGCGAAGGTCTCACCGGGTCACTGTCCTCTTCCCTGTAAAACAAAACAGGAGAAGCAACATCCATATACCTGCATCCCACAGCCAAAGAGAAGTCAGTGGGTGGGTGATCCAAAGCCTACTGAAGGGGCAACGCGTCCTTCTGGCTCACCTGAAACAGGCCAGATCAGGTTCGGCTCCTGCTGAAGGCCTCTTCCAAAGGTGAGAGTGCAGGCCAGTTCGTGCTCACCGGCGGCCTGGCGAAGGTTTAGCAGTGTTTTCCGCGTCTCGCAGACCAGTCTCAAGGAGGCCCCCCCACCCAGGCTGTGTGGACGCCGTGGCGCCTCCCCGAACGTCGACCTCGCCTGCCCCAGCCCGGTGCCCTCGGAGGTGTTGGGCTGAAGCTTCCAGCATTTCCAGCTGTCCTGGGGGCGAAATCCTGGGATTGGCAGCTCAGCACATCTGGAGGGCATCAGCTCAGGGAGGGTCGACACACAGGCGATTTCTCCACCCACGAGAGCTGTGTTTAAGCTACATTCATTTCTGAATCACAGGCTACATTTACTTCTGTAAATGGGCATAAATATGCAAAGAGAAATTAATCTGCCATTGCAGGACGTGTATTTAATGTGAATAAAGAGCATATGCTAGTCTGTTTTTATTTAGCTTAATTTTTCAAACTGGAGGTCCATGTTGCAATGTGAAGGGGAACAGTTGTTCCTCTCAATGAAGCAAACATTAGAGATCAGCACTGCCACCAGTATTGCCACGGCTTTGCATCCCCAAATCCTTTTTGGAGAAGGATTTGGTCATCTTTGGGCTAGGAAATTGTGCATGTGGGAATCTTTCCCTTTTCTGTACCTTTTTTGAGCTTTTGGCTCAGCAAGCAGATTCTGCCCCTACAAATGGGATGCGACCTGAAGAAGGGGTGTTTGGATATCCACATGTTCTTGGATGCTACGAGGTCTGTGGCTTTTAGGCACCATCTCTCTATCATCAACATGTGAATTCTGTGGCTGGTCTGAGTGTCCTTACCTGACCACCAGAGTGACCTCTCCCTGGGGAGTCAAAGAGCCAGGCCCCATATTCCACACTGCAAAACAAAGCCAGATTCTAACTTCTGGAAGTTTGGGGCCTTCTCAGCCACAGGCAAAATGCCTGTCTCCAAGCTGTTGGGAGCTGCAGAATTTTCCCTTCCAGGGTTAATAGCAGGCGAGTGCAGTGGTGCAGCTAGAAATTATGCTTACCAGGGAAGGACTGTGTGTACTTGCATAACACACCCCACTGCTTCTCTTCTGTTCCCACAACCACCATTCCATGATGTACAACTCGCATTTCCGATAGGATGGAAGCAAGGTTTGCTAACCCAGTTTTAAATAAGTGCCTGCAGATTCACATTTTAAACTCCAGTCCTATCAGCATCAAGACTACAAAAATTGTGTTGGCTCTGCTTTTTTTCTGCCTGCTTGTAGCTTTTTTGGGGGTAACAAAAGTCTTCCAATCTTACTGCATCCCTTTCCCCTCGCTCCTCCCAAACCCCAGAGATAATTTCCTATAAAGATAAGAGACACAAGCCGCAGAGACCTTTTTTTAAGGTTCTCTGTACCTTGGTGGCCTAAACAGAAAGCCCTCGCTTTGTTGCTTTGTTTGCAAAAGGTTCCTGACGCGATTCCTGACATTACGGGTAAGGAGAGCCAGTGTGGTGTAGTGGTGAAGAGCATGGGACTGGGACTCAATCTGGGTTCGAGTCCCTGCTCAGCCATGGAGCCCACTGGGTGACTTTGGGCCAGTCACAGACTCTCAGCCCAGCCTGCCTCACAGGGTGGTGGTTGTGGGGAGAAGATGGAGGAGGAGAATGATGTAAGCTGCCTTGAGCCCTTTGTAGGAAAAAGGCAGGATATAAATCGAAAAATAAAAAAAAATCCAATGTGCCACTGCCGGTCATTGGCATGGGCCAACCATCTTTCCCTACAAAGCATCGCAGTGGAACTTGCAAGAGGACAGAGGACCCAGGAGACTGCCGTGTAAAAGCTCATGTTGGGAACAAGGGGAAGGGGCGAGTAGCGTGGAGGATATATTTTGCTCAAGCGAATGTGGCTTCGCTATCGGCTATCAGCCCTCTCACAGCCAGACACCTTTCAGGGCAACATACCTCCACCAGAAGAGATGGAGGTTGTCCCTTCAGCAGAAGTGAAAGGCACTTGTCTCAGGAAATGAAATCCACAAATGCATTCCGCTCTTCCACCAGTAAACCAAGCAGTCTTTGCAGTGTACGGAAACCAAGTGGTTTTGAGGAAAACGTTCAGGGCTCCACCATTTTGTCAGCCACAAAGTGAGGGGCCGCTTTTACATTGCTGAATTCACGCTCCTGAAAAGAGACTCTCCAGCATCGAAGCAATTAAAAGAACTTTTCACTGCATGCACCTCTTGTTCCTCTGGCTCTGAAAATGTATCCAGTCGTTTCCGTGAAACTGCCAGTGTGTAATTCACAGGAAATGCGCAATGAGATCTTTTTTTAATCAGGTTTTATTATTTTCTCTGTAGACCCAAAACTAAAACAATTATTTAGGACATCGGACATGCTGAGTTGACATCTCTCTTTTTTTTTTTACATTCAACAACCATATTCAATTCTACGCATAGTCCCGTTTCTCTAACCAATGATAGAAAATACTCCAAGTTTTTTTTTATAAAGATTTTTATTAAAATTTTTTTTAAAAAAACTAAAAACATCAATCATCAAATACATTGGACATACTGGGTCAGCCCCCTACAACATATCTTTTTAACGTTCTATAATCATATTCAAATCGATTTTTAAAAATTTAAAAACATCTTTAAATCTAAGCCAAGTCCCGTTTCTCCAGCCAATCCTAAAAAAGGTCCTGAGTTTGATAGAAGTCAGTATCTTCTTTCTCCTTCAGTAATAAAGTCAATCTGTCCATTTCTGCACAGTCCAGAATCTTTTTTAAAATCAGTTCCTCAGTGGGTAATTCCTCACTCTTCCAGTATTGAGCAAGCGCAATCCTTGCTGCTGTGATTAAATGTAGCATCAAATACATTTCTTGTTTGCTAATATTTTCCGGTATAATGCCTAACAAGAAAATTTCAGGTTTAAAAGCTAGGGGTTTTTGTAGCATTTCCTCAAGCCATGAACATATTTCAAGTTTGATGGAAGGATGTGTCTTCTTCAAAGACAACGTCAATCTGTCCATCTCCACGCAGTCCAAGATCTTAAGTGTGTAATGAGATCTGTGGGTTAAGTAAAGGAGGCAGAAATGTTATCTTTTTAAACCAACGAAAATGGCTTGTGTGGGGAGAACATGAGCTGCACATGGATCAGGAGTTACACTGAAGGACTACCTGGCCATACCGTTCCCTGGATCAAACAAGCTCAAGCAGATAAGGAATAGCAGGAGCCGGGATGCGCTTGGCATCTATTCTAGCGCTTAGTGATTTATTCAATTTCCACGCTGCCCCCTTAGCCTTGGGTTCTCTGGGCAACTCGCAACACATAAGTTCTCTGCAAACCAGTGATTCCCAGAGTGGGTGCTGCCACCAGCGGAAAGATCGGGGGTGGGGGGATCGATTGCTTCAAATTGCAGTGGAACCGTAGGCCAAAGAGGCCTTGGGGCACCAGGGTTGAATAATCTCTTGCCTTCACTCTCAGCCAGAGGATGGGTGGGTGGACTGTGCCTGGTTGTGACGATAACGCTTTGCTGACTGAATAAATGACTTCCGGCCCCGAAGAAGGGTATTTCTGAAACTTGTAGGGCAACAACCAAGCTATTCTTGCTGGCGCGCAAAACTTTTTATCACTTCTTCCCCTTTGCGTCTTTTTTTGCCCTTCTCGTTCGGTCATTTTGTCATGTCTGCTGCTGCCCCCCTGAATCAAGCAATGCAGCGATTGCTCCGGCCGCCTCCGTCCACAATGTGGAGAGCAAAGCGTGACGCAGATTCCCACTTCGCTGCGTCACACCGACCTATTTTTATAGCCCTTTCCCCGCATCTGACCTCCGTGCCCGTTCCCAGCCGCTCCTGCTTTCTTGTCCAGAGGGATGTGGGACGCACTGAGCGGAACCCGCTGCGGGAAGCTGGCAGGGGCGCAGGGGGCCGGCGGCGAAGCGCTCCGCCGTGGGCCAGCGCCCTGTCAGCATCGCGTGACCTCCGCTGCACAGGCGAGCGCCTTGCGGGCAGGGAACATGCCTCGGAAGAGGAGCAGCTGAGGGTCCTCGTGGTCAGTTGCACATAGATTGGCCTCCCCGGTGGCAAGGCTCGGCCCCCATCGCACTCCGCTCCTGCCTGCTGGACCCAGGCAGGAGGGCTGCGGGAGCCTGACGCCCACACAGCGCCAGGAGGACGTGAGGCAGCACCTTCGGCTGCAGAGACGCTGCTTTTGTGCCTGCCGCTGGCGAACCGTCGCGTTCTCTTTTGCCTGTGAGCAGCTGAGGCGCTCGCTGCTATTCGTATAACCAGCCTGGGGCTTTGCTTTGCATAAATATGGACGCCAGAGCCTGGAGGACAGGAAGCGAGGACTTGCCACTCCACTCCTGTCTCCTCCTGTTTAAAGTGGAGCCCCGCTGCCTGCTCCTGCCCTCTTTCCCTCGGTCCTTCAGAAGGCATCAAATGAATGGTGTTTCCTGGAGCTGCTTTGCTTGTCTGCCTCGTAGACCAACGATACTAGTGAGATGCACGAGCGCAGGCTGAAGCTGCTCCTGGTGCGTGTGCATCTTCGTACTTCTCGCTGCTGATTTATTGCACACGCAATAAATTGATTTATTGCTCTTGGGTACACAGGGAGCAGCAGAAAGGGTGGTTTGCTTCTGGATGGGAGGCAGGAAGGATCCGGCCTGCGTGACTGTCAGTGCCATTTGCGGTCATGTGAGCAAACATGCGTGTTCACACGGCCGCTAATGTTCAGCTGAAGAAAGTGGGTCACGTCTGCCGTGTTGGAGGCGTGGTCCTCACCCTGGCAAGCAAAGCATACTCTTAAGGAGATGAGGCAGTCTTGCGCCAGGCCAAAGGTCCACGCGTCTGCCTCCAGCCACGGCCAGCCAGAGGTGCCCCTGCAGCTCTTTGTTCACAACATCTGGCTTCTCGGCCTGCAAGGGGTGCCGCAATGGCAGCCACAGCGTGGCAAGAGGATGTCGGGCCAGAAGCAGGACTTTCTCTCGTGCAGCGCATCTTAATCCACACAGTTCCGGCTGAGGAATTTAACCCAATTGGACTGTCCCGAGTCACAGGGACAAGAGAGGCTCTTGGGTCCCATCTGGCAAGATGGGGTGGCCCAGGAACATGCGCTGCAAGCTCCCCAGCCCCCAATCAGCATGCACGCACGTGTGCGTGCAGGGCGGAGCGTTACTTCTCCCTGTGACTGTGCGAATCGTGCCAAGGAGTGCGACCCGGGAGGACGGGGCTGGTTGAGGAGACTGGGCAGCGATGTGAGGTCCGGGAATGCAGAACTGTTCCACAGTGTGGTCCAGAAGAGGGCTGGGGAGCACAGACGGTTGGGAACCGGGCTGTGAGGGTGGCCCGCGAGTCGGTCCTCTGTGTTGTGTTGTTGAGACAGAGGGTTTTTCTGCCCTAGGACAGAAAATGGGACCCGGCAGTTCTGCCTCTTCGCATCGTCAGGCTTGGCAAGAGTTGCCACATCGGGT